AACTTGAAATAAGTAGTTAAGCAAGTAACGTAACTACCAAATTCAGAGTTCATACCATAACCATGGTGCAGAGACTAGTAAGTGAAGCAAGAGATTGTAATAGTAATACAACTAGTCCACCCCCTTCAACCGTCTCTATTGTTCGTGCTAGTAGATTTGGAGTTAGAGCTTCAAAATCCTGAATGTATCAAGAATAAAAATTATATATGAAAGAAGATAAAAGTATGAGTAAGTTGCAGAAAAAATATTATATCTGCCATCAATCAAGAGTACCTGTAAGATGCACATGCCGAAAGTATTCCCAAGAATTCTTTCAGAATCTTTGTACAAGCAATGTGTGACATCCCCCACATCAAGAAAAAGAGAGAAAGCGTCAAGTTTTTCAGGATCTAATTGTCCTCTTTCCTTCATCTTCTTCAACTGCTTTGATCGTTTCTTATTGTGGCTGCACACAAAACCAATTCCATTCTCAAAGCTTAGGACCAAGTTATCGACAAATATGCGTAAAATAGTTCACAAAGTCAGGTTCCATCATTCCCGACATGGAAAGACCAAAAGAAATTCACAGTAAAGAATGTGTTAACCTGTTAACTAGGTTTCAATTAAGCTCCTAATAACAAAGTTTTAGGTAAAAGCTTCAACTGTGGCAAATATCAAAAGACAAATTTGATAATCGAACCTGCTAATGTCGAGTCTGTTCTTGTAGCACCATAAAACACTTGTGTTAGACTTGACCACCGATTTTGACAAAATGTGATGAAGATTAACTATCTATTACATAACGAATTAGAAAAGCATTAGACTTGATCTCCGAGGAAAATGCAAAGTAGAAATTCTCTATAACAGCAAAAAGAATATATACCTGGTCACGAGCCTTGTCACCAACGATGACAAACATGGAACGGTGTCTGAGTTTGACACCGTTTTCAATCAGAGTCCTAATACGTTCGTCTACCTTCTTCCTCATCCTGGGACAAGTTTTTTCTGTCTCCTGACCTTAAAGCCCACATCAAAATTGAATCAGAAACAAGTTTTAGCTTATTGTAAAGCCAAAGTCATGGTTTTTCATTCCTGGGATTTAAGGCAGGACCTCGTTTGAAAATAATCATTGCTTTCTAATAGAAAATAAATACCAATTCGAATAAAGTTTCAAGCTTTCTGGAGAACCCAATGAAGCAAAGTCTCAAATTTTAGAAGAAACGGAGAAAATTCCAGCAAAAGAAACACAAAAGCGGCTTCGAATCCTTTACTTACTACTCCAACTGATTCCAATTCCTAGCTGTACAACTAACAATTCGAGGGTGTAACTGGTGGTAATGCGTGTTAATAGAGAACGAACCTGAAGGATGGTGAAAGAAGCGAGCAAGGAGGTGCAGAGCAGCTAGCTTGGTGTGTGTGTGTGCTTCGTGTTCTATTACCAAAGCAGAGAAGCGCGCCCTAAGTCAACCGTCGTCAGTCAAAACCTTAAAACCCTAGAAATCAATTACAGATAACCGACCGGTTTGGTTCTTTTTAACATTTTTCCGGTTTGTGGTTATCAAGCAGCTGGTTTTCTCCATTGCCATGTTTTAAAACCGAATAGGAAAGCAACCCAAAACAAAACAAAAATCAATAACGTGATCACCGGTGGATTGTAATGTTTAATATTGTAATAAAGTTATGAAAAGTTTAGGACAATTTACTATGATTTCTGTAAAGTAGTTATATATTATAAAGTAAATGATATATACCTGCACACGACGTGAAACGAATATTTACTATTTAGCAAATAATTATGCAAAACAAATAGCCAACTATACCATTAGATTAATAAGATTAAAATTATTTTTACTTGTCACTTAGTACACGTCTTCTTCTAATCACGTAGTTTCTGGAAGAAAATAATATCTCTGCTCAGTGCTCTACCAAATTATTTTTCTAGATCAACTGCTTCAATTAAAAATCAGTTTTTTAGTTTATAAAACTTACATCTAACGCTATAATGTTTTAAATTATTAGATCAAAGAAGCATTCAAACTAATTAAGTAACCGATAATTCTTGTCCTTTGTTTTACGTAGAAAATGATATATATTGTCCTTTTATAAGTACACACACAACACCAAGGAGTCTTCGAAAAGATTACACCCGATTTAATAATTAAAAATATAAGAATTAATATATATAATTAACTATTGCGTTATATTTATATAGTTTTCTTCTTGATGGTCAAATATAACGCTTCACAATGACCAATCAATAGTTTTTGTTAAATACTCTAAACTTGCTTTTAAGAAAGCAATAATGCCAATAATAATAATCAAAGTTATATATAATGGAACCATACATGACATTTTATTACTAAACTATAAAATCAAAATGGAATGAAAGAATTTAGGATGGGTGCGTGGTACAGATGGCGAAGTCTCGTTCAACAAGTATGTTTTAATCAATTTAGATCAACAAGCTAACCTTACCTGGCTTTGGATCTAACTTTGTCTCCCACAGGCCACAACATTATATAGATAACATTATCCTTAATTTTTTAAAACAAAATATATCATTTCAAAACTGATAATAGTGTTTTCGTTTTAATCAGTAGCTAGCTATCTTCGTTATGATTACATATGCCATGATAACATGTTGCATGTATGCCGTTAAGCATAAGAAAACTCTTATTACGTGGCAACTTTCATTAGTTTCATATATTATTTTAAAAAAAAAAAATATATATATATATATATATGAAAATTACGGTTTTCGATCGAAACTAAATCTAGACAAATGCTAATTAATTAATGTGACAATTAATACGCAACTGTGTTCTCAATTCTCTAACCTGATCAATCAAAATGATCATCATTCTCAGCACTGCATGTGGAGGATCATCCTAGTCCAGATCACTTCTTCCGCGGTTCCGCCAATGCCACTATCTAACATGGTTTAAGTTGGGGGAATAGCATGAATAGATTTATTTATTTTCCTAGAATTATTCGAGAATATAAAAGAAAACGAAAATATTATCGTAAATCTACAAATATGTAACTGCTGTTATTACGTACTATGTTATTTACTCATATATTTATATATATGCAAGCCACAAAGAGCGATCGATGATGCTTCAAAAAAACATATATTACCAAAATTAGGAAACATACGAATTGGACAATAAAGGAAAAACCTGTAAAAAGTAAAATAAAAGTAAATAATGAAATGGGATAAGCATCTAAAAACACACATAAGCAAAATGGAGTTCCGTTGGTGTCGGAAGTGACATGTGTATACACACAATTGAAGGGACCTCCAACATTGGATGTTGGATCTTTAAAGCTTATCATTCTAATCACGCTATTGATTAAATATATAACCTGCCGACTCCATTTATTTAAAAATTATAGTATGTATTTTAAAAAGTGGTGCAATTATGAATTGGTGCACATATTTATTCAGAGACTTAATGGGAAAATTTCGAATCAATCCTACACCAAATCTATTTGAAAGAATAAAATCTAAGTCATGAAATGTCACCACTAAAATTCATTTCTTCGGTTCTTTTAAGAGTTATTCAGAATTTCACATATTTCTCTGTCTTATATTGTCTCAAAAGAAATGAAGTTAAATAATCATAACTGTACTCGTCTTTTAGTTTGTTTTATACTATGTTTATATATTTCCAAATTATAGCTCTAGTCTCGCGATTCATCGGTTCGGAGTAGAAAGGTATATATATGATCAGAGATCCAAATTTTGGTAACTCTTGTTGTGGATTTGTTAATTCATCGGTCTCGATTCATCTTCCATAACATGCAACTTAGTTATTATCATGAATAATAGTTTAAGTGATTAAAATCCAAGCAAATATAAAAATAAGAAAAAGTAGTTTAAGTGATTGAATTAGAGTTTTGGAAACATTAAAAAAAAAGGACTCGATCGTATAAAGGTCGTTACCCTTTTTATGTTTCCTAATTTATTTCCAAACAAAAACGTTACGTTTTTATCAATCACATTCACAGGCATCTACTTGACTACTTGTAATGGATGGAAATATACGTTACGTTTTTATCTATCATTCACATGTATGCACTACTTGTAGATTGTAATGGAACACTATTTATAGGTACGGAGTGGAAGTATATGTAATATGTAATATGTAATATGTAATATGTAATATATATGTATAATGTATATACCCATATGGTAATAAACAAATGTACCAATAAAGAAGGACGTACGAATGGGACATATATAGACTAAGCAACAAGAAAGTGATAATGTTTCAACATGTTTCCTCCATCAATTAAGCAATGCGCCATTTATATATATAACACAGCACATAACGCTAAAACAAAAGAAAAACACAGCACACAATAATAATGATAAAACTATAGACACCATGTTAATTACTAATTACAGTAAAACCTCTATAAATTAATACTCGATAAATTAATAATCTTTATAAATTAATAAATTTCTCCGGACCAGTGTAATTTTAGACACATTTCGATAAAATAATAAGATAATAATTTTTTTGAAAATCCTTTGTAAATATATGGTCTCATCAATATTAAAAATTAATAATTAGGTAAAATTTTCAAAATATATGTATATATAGACACATTAGTTTTTGTTAGATTTTATTTCTAATATTTTACTATATGAAAAATAGCTAGCATTCTCTTTTAATACATAATAATTATTGTTTTATTTGTAATTGATTATATAAAATATTAATTACCATGATTAGATCTTATTTTTAAATATTGTTTTGAAAATATTTTCCAAATTAGAAATATCTCTCTATAAATTAATAATTATTAATTTATCGATAAATTAATACCTCTATAAATTAATAGATTTTTATGGTCCCAACATTATTAATTTATAGAGGTTTTACTGTAGTATATACGTACGGTTAACAAATTAAGGAACATGAAAATGTTTTTTTTTTTTTTAGTACTATATATTCTTTATTGTTATATTCCATAATATATATATATATATACTTGATCCGTTCTACTTAATTTGTGTTTTATTTTGGGATGACGATGAAGATCCTGGATTTTCTGGATAATTAATCTATCTATTTGAGTTTTTTTTTTTTTTTTGAATAATTCTACAACATCACTTTGGAATGAATTTTTAAAGAACATACATAAACCTAATTAATAAATAAACTCAAATTGGCTTCAAGAACACTATATATGTCTCGGTTTTTTTTTTTCGTTTTTTCTTCCCAATAAAATACACAACTAGTATATCTTAATCATATATCTCTATCTCTTTGTTATGCCGTATCTCCGGCGATACCTAGATGAAGATCCAGCGACTTAATGCTTCTCTTTGAACTAGAACGAGAAGTCAGATCTCTCTGGAACTGAATCATGTTCGGTCGTACACCGTACAGTTTACCCATCTCACCACTTTGTTCATTAAGGTCTTGACCCGCGTTCTTGTTGCCGAAGCTAATCTGCGATGACATCGGCGACCAGTCCTCGTTGTACACGCCCATCTGATTATTATTATCATTCACATGCATGGAGGAGAACGCACAATACGACTGCGTTTTGTATTTTCCGTGAAACGCCGTCGTTATTGGCTGGTGGTGGCTGGTGAGATAATAGCCGATGCTGGCTCGTCGAGCTTGGAGCTGAAGCCTCTTCTTCTTCAACCTCTCCTTCTTGTGAGCGTTTTGGTGACCTCCCAAGGCTTGGGAGTTTGCGAACTCTTTGCCACAGTATTGGCATTCGAGTCTTTTCATAACTGTTAACGACGTCGTGTTTGTTGACGAGCTCACGCTCTCCGCCGTCGTGATATCCGGCGAACGATTGCCGCTGATGAGCTCGAACCCGAATAGCTTTATCGTCTTGTCGGAGGAAGAGCCTGAGGAACTTTCACCTGCTCGAGACATTGTCGGAGACATAGACATATATATATGTGTCTGTATGTATGTTTTGTGTTTGTTGATGGGTTTAATTAGCTTAAGGAGGTGTGCAAATGATCGTCTTTATATAGCAAATATAGAGAGGCGGAGGATGCTTAGTTTAATAATTTGTATATAATGATGCATTGCATCTGTAATATAATATACATAAGGAGTTTTATATTGTTGGAAGGGTTTTTTATATTAGTCATGAACAGCATCGAGTATATAATATTTTAGGGTTTATAATAAAATTATTTGTTTGAATCTAAGGTGTAGTGACGAGAAATGTATCTTGGAAAATAAACATTGATAGGTACAATAAACATTACACTAACACGGAAGATGTTTATAGACATATGTGGATACCACGCGCATACATATACTATATGAGATAGGAACGGTATATAATAAACTAGGATTGAAAATTCTTTATACCATAGTATATATATATATATAAAGACTTAACTTGTCAACTTGTTTTTATCTTTGTCTTATATATACATTTGCTTAATTTTGATAAACTTGACTTTAAAATATTGTTGGAAAATACTTTCTGTTTAGTGCGTGAATAAAATAGTTAGATTGAGTTGAGATACGATAAATATAAAATATATATATGAAAAGGCATGCAGCGATCACACCACTTGTGACAATTAATACAAAAGTTATATTCTAAGCTATAAGAAAAGATTAAAGATGTTAATATCATATTGTTGATATTATACCGAAAGTCAAAGAAAGATAGGAAGTTAAATAAAGCCAATCAGTTTTGCCCTAAAAATTATATAATCAGCATCGAAGCTGAAGAATAGTATTTAACAATTCACTATATTTGAATGACGCATAAAATTTATAAGCGAATAAATGAAAATTTTTGTATCTAAATATTCACTCAAGAGCATATTGCAACAATATCAAACGAATCGTCGTTCGGTATTCTCCAAAAAGAAATCAAAATTAGTCTATAATTTTGCTTTGGATATTCTTTTAGTGATACTATTCATTATAATGTTTTACAAATTAATTTCCCATCGATTAAAGTTGCTCGCAAAGAGATCTGATGATGGAGCATGAAATTGAAGCTTTTATGTAATTTATCTCAATGTATTGTCTTCCCACCTAAACCAAATCTTATTTGTCTAATTACTGTGAGAGAGAGAAAAAGCCTATCTTGACCATGTTTAATGAATGCAAATGAAATTATTAAATAAAAAATGAGGGAGAATAAGTTAGTTGCCAAATGAAGGAATACAAGAAGTGGGCAATGATGCAAGCATCTATACTATTTAACATATAGTATATATATATATATATATATATATATATTTCATAAGTCTATTCTTCGAAACAAGATCTTGGGCAAATCTTCATAAAGCATGAGAAGACAATATTTTATACAGAAAGAGAAAATTGGTATTAAAAAAAGATTAATATTCTATTTTTCAGGTGAATCATTATCAAGTCATGAGATAATCTTATTCTAATACTGGAAAAAAAAAAAACAAGTCTAATGAAATGGCATTTGGTTTGGACAGTTGTTCCATTAAGACCCCACTGCTCTCTGTGTAACTTAAAAGATAGATCAAGACAATTAAAAATCGAAATAACAATAATTAATCCTTATTAGGTGTTATAGTTATATTCCAATTCATACTAACCTAAGATCTCTGATTGGTGGACTTTCTTGCCACCAAAACTGGTGTCTCATGCAATCAAACGCTCGCTCTTTCCTCTCTATCAGGTCCTTTGTTTTTGTTTTTTTTTTTTTTGGTCTTAGAAGTATTATTATAGCAATCGAGGGAAAGAAGAATTCCAAATAAGTATGCTGTCAACAATAATCTTATATTTATCCAATAGCATGTGGAATAATTTAGCTCATTATGATTTTTTTTTTCTTTTCGAAAGTTTCTTTGTGGTGGCTACTTGGGTGGGTGGGTTGGTTTCTATATTATTTGATATAGTAAAACTTAGTAGTATATATATATTAATTATTTGATTATGTCCACCTCACCTTCTCTTCTCATTATATTTATCGAAGTCTCAAACAACTTAAAATTATTACATAATTCAAAACCCATTTTTGAGAACTTAATTAGTTAGTCTAATGTACCTGTAAAAAATCTATTCGATCGACCTAAATGTTTAAAGGTTTAACTCTAAGTGTTGACCACAATAACAAAAAGAAAAAAAAGTTTTACGATAGTAGTTTTTGTTTCTTTATAGGGAAACTCATTAGGGTTGTGCGAGCTTACTAATCACATACATAAACTAATTATTCCCTGTGTTTAAGTTTTCATTTTGTATAGAAAACGAGGACGAGCAAACTAGCACATGCATGTTATATTGTATAAGAAACAAATTAATAAAGTCGAAGATAATTTAAGAATATCCAAAACATGGTCCCCGCAGTTTGCCTCTCCGTATTAATCAAATGCTTTTGCTTCTCTTCTAGACGACTCCAAGAGCACTCGAGCCTTAAATTATTATTATATCATAATTTGGTATATATATATATATTTACGGAATAAAAAAGAACGCCACCGAAAATGCAATGCCAAGACCAAAAACCATATAAAAAACTATACCATATACAATACATGAGAAAATAAACAATGATTACAGATCGAAATGGATTATGACTGAATTCATATAAAAATGGTTGTTACTTAAAACTATGAATCCAGCCAGCAAGCATGCATGCATAATAAATGAATTACAACTATAACTATATATAGAACATCCACGAGAAAATAAAGATTACACAACGCTAATTAATACTACAAGGATACTATATATATATATATAACTAGCATGCACGTAGAAATTATTGTTCTTGAACGAACGATATATGCAGATCTCCAAAGTCCAAATCCAAAGCCAGCCGGAAATATCTAATATTTTTTATGTGGTATTGTGCTGCTGGTCTAACTACTAATTTAATTAAACCCTGCAGGTTTCTTAGGTGTAGGAAATTTAATTTCGATTATTATGGTCTGATTTTCTGTTTTGGTCACGTTTAGCATGACAGCAAAATCGAAATACAGTTAGGTTTGAACTCGTTTCGGCTTATCTCCCAATTCGTTTGTTGAAATCCATATATATATATATCATTGCGATCGAAATTGATAAAACTATAAAAGGCTTTGGTTTGCTTTTAATTGTCCGACCCTAGTGATGGATCAGACACAGACACCACCACTGGGTCTGGGCCTTCACCCAAATTTTCAGCTCGTCTCTAAAAATCTTCTGTTTCAGACATTAGTATAGAAACATTTAACGTTAAGCTACGTCGATTTCGATTGCCAACCTTTATCAGGTTATTTAGATTCTTTTTCATATTTAATCTTTGAATATATATTAATTGACTGAAGAAGAATGTTCGCCTCCATGGCCTAATAATACAAAACCATGCAACTGGAGAGAGTAAAAATAGAAAAGCCTTAATTGTGTAAAAGCCCATAAAAGTAGAGTATTCATTTTGTTTGCAAGTGTTTTTGGTCTCTTTGTCTTGTGCTCTTTGTTTCGAGGATTTGGAACGTTTGTGAAAGTGTGATGAATATATACATAAAGATAAATAAGTATTAAATATCAAGAGGAGACAGAACCAAAACAACACAAGTGATAACCAAGGAGAAAGACTACTCAGTACTCTATTGTTCTTTTCTTTGTTTCCATCAAAAGCATGTATTTTTCTTCTTCTTAAAAGTGTCATTCACAAAAGATCCAACAATGCTTTGTAGCCTTTTGTATTTAGATAGGAGCTCTACTGATGGTGACCAAAATAAAAGTCAGGATTTCACATCGAAAATTTCGAAAGAACATAAAACAATATATAAATGAACTAATCTACTCATACCATTAATACAATTTTAACATCTTTTCAGAAGTTTTGGCATTTGAGATTCGACTATACTTCAATATATAATGGTTCTCAGCATGAGCACCATACTATAGTATAATACTATAATTAGGTCAACTAATTGGTTACTTTATTGCTGCTAGAAATATATTTTAGAAGGGTTTAAGAAGACTGAGAAAATCCTTACAATAATAATTAGAATAAAAAGATGCTCCATACCTCAATCGATAATTTAATTAAAGGGAAAATGTCAATGTCTTTTATGAAAAATGATGTTCAAAGTTATCTAGAAAAAAAAAGAGAAAGATGATAAACAATGAATAAATGAGCGACACGTCGATCACAACTATTAGGGGAGTTATTTGGTTCAACTCTCGATTTCTAGTTGACATCATGAAGATTTGATCCATCATTCGTTGGCCCCTATCGTTTGAAAAATCAATTCACAATTCAATCTTGAATTTCGCGTTATTAGTTTTACTCAAGGGCATATCCAATTTTCCATTGTTAAAGTGTTTTTATTTTTCTTCTCCAATAGTTCACGACGCATCATTGAGTTTTCTATATAAATCAAGAACGATCAATTTCGAAGAGACAAAATAGTACTAGTATTCTTTATGCTAAGGCATGATAAAGAAAGGAAAAACTGTGATCATCTACGACTGCTATATCGATTAACTTCAAAGCAACCTTGAAACTTACCTTTTTTTTAGTTAGGAAAATATCATAAGATTAGATTTGCTAGCTCTTCTTCGTTTATATGTAGTATAGGATAAATGATACAATATGAGATATTATTTCTGAAACCAAAAGCTAGAGAATCAAAATGGATACATATATGTATTTATTGTTTTCATATGTCTAACTTTTTTTTTTTAAAAAACGGATACAGAAAGAAAGCTTTGAGAAATGTATGTTTTTTTATTGGAATAATATTTGTTTAATCAGAAAAGAAAAGAAGGAAAAACTCTCTTTTAAGTTTGAGTAAGTAAATAATTTTAATTAGTAAAATTGAAACTTTACCATTTGAACAAAATAAATAAAAACTTTTGATGATATATATACAACTATAGATTTTATTTTTTTAAAAAAAGAAGGGATTGGGGGTGGGAAAGAGAAAGCAAAAGCAATCTCGAAGATTTGATACGCTGTGGTGTCTAAAAGAGTGAAACAGCAAATTATGTTTTTTTGCAAGAAAATAAAAAAAGAGGAAAAGTCCAAAATTAAAAGAAAAATAAAAATAAAAGAAAAAAATTTGGTTCTTTAAGAAATATAAGTGGGTCCAATGTTTAGATTTCCATGGGTCCCGCGGATCTTAATTTTAATGTGGACGTCAATTGCCTTTCTTTATTATTATTATTATTATTATTTATTTACTCCACCTTCCCTCTTTTTTTTTTTTTTTGTGTTTTTGGTTTTCTCCAATTTGAAAACAATATAAATAATAATATTACAGTGAGAATGAAATTGTTTGGATAACATAAACTTGTAGGAGTCAGATGTAGAGTTATTTATAATGTTAACCCGTCAAACCCACAAAAAGAAAAGAACCATCTTAATATCATTCTTTGGATTACAGTTTACTATAAACCACATTGAACAATGAATTAAAATTTGTGTTAAGTAAGGCTTTTAGTGGTATCTACAAAGGAATAAGACCAATCCAAACCGAAATTACCTACTGTGAATTGGAAAATGTGCGATGTTTCAAACATCATGTTTGTTTGTGACCACCAAATTAAATCAGCTTTCACATTTTTTTTCATTTTCTATCTTCTTTTATATATGTAGATATATATTTTTTGTGTGCGTGTTTTCATCTTGATTCCTTATTAGTACGGATGATTTCTCCTCTATTATTTATTATATTCGCTTTTCAGAATATATTTTATATATTTTTTCACTCGATGGTGATATTCGCATAACATGCCCCCACCGGATTTTCATAAAATCTCTTTTTTATATTTATATTTATATTAATACTTACTTATTAATAATTCTTGGTGTTTGGATACACTTGTTTTGCATTTTACTACTGAGGATGTTGCATTGATAGGTGCTCTACCTATTGGTAATCAGCCAGGGCCAGATGTCCCAGGAAGGCATTTCACAAAGACTGGGAAATACACGGTTAGATCTGGATATCATGTGGCTCGAAAGCCGGAATTTAATGTTTCTGTCCTCGCAGTATAAGGGCCTAATATAAATCCCCTATTTGGATGTGTATGGAAATTACGGTGTCCACCTAAAATCCAACATTTTATATCGCAGATTTTGACAGGTTGTATTTCGGTCTCAGCAAATTTAAGAGCTCGAGGTTTACGATGTGATTCTACCTGTTCAAGGTGTGGTGCTCCAGCGGAGTCAGTTAATCACATGCTGTTTGAATGCCCACCTTCAAAACAAGCTTGGGCATTGGCAAATATTCCAGTGGATCCACATAGTTTTCCCACAGCATCGGTATATACTAATATAGCTTATTTATTCGGTCTGCCCTTTGAGGATGGGTCGCCTAGTTTCTATCCCTGGTTATTATGGTATATATGGAAAGCGAGAAATGAAAAGGTATTCAGTAATGGAACCGAGAGTCCGATGGATGTAGTTCGGATTGCAAAAGACGAGGCAAAGTCTTGGCAGGAGGCCCAACTCGACGAAGTGGAGACTCAAAGGCAACCTTTATTAGATATCCCTCGGCTACAACCACGGGGATGTCTGTTACCTTTATACTTTACAGGTTATAGGTGTTTTGTTGATGGGTCTTGGAAGGACATAGATAAATTTTCAGGCTTAGGATGGTTCTGCCAAAACGCTGACGATGGATCAACTACAATGGGAGGTAAGAATTGTAGACGGAGTCTCTCCCCTTTGCATTCAGAAGTCGAAACTTTGGTGTGGGCAATGCGTTGTATGATAGGTCACAATTTCAGAGATGTGGCTTTTCTCACAAACTGCTCGGATTTGGTGAAGATGGTGTCTTCCCCGCTTGAGTGGCCAGCGTTTTCTGCATATTTGGATGACATAGCTGTTGACAGGGAGGAATTTTCTACATTTTCTTTGTCTCTTATTGCTCGGAGTGCTAATACCAAAGCGGATAGTTTGGCACGGAATGTCCGTACAACGCCGCTCCCTGTTCTGTATGTGAACTATTGTCCCCCTAATTGGTTTTTATAAACCAATTCTATAGTTATTGTTGAAAAAAAAAAAAAAAACTTACTATTGTTTTTTCCTTTTTTTTATGAGCAAACTACTTACTATTGTTTTTTTTTCTCAAAGATTAAAAGAAAAAAAAGGTTGTATTTTTCAACCCTAAAAGCACGGCACCCCAAAACGAACATATTTTTTTCACATAAATAGGAAAACCAAAGATTTTGTTGGATTTTCCTCGCTGGAGAATGGAGTTATTAAAAAATGAGATTAATCAATATTAAAAAAAAAGATTGATTTGTGCTTTTTTTTTTTTTTGAAAAATAAATATTTTTTTAAAAACGCATAAGAAATATAAAAAACTGTCTAAAGGGAAAGACAAAGGAAGGAAAAGCAAACAGATGTGAGCTCTTTCATCTTCTTCTTCTTTCATCTCTCTCTCTCTCTCTTATTCTCATCCTCTCCTCACAGAGTTACTAGTATAGTATAGACTCCTCGTCTATGTCTATGTCTATGTCAATGGCCAGAGACGGTGGCGTTTCTTGTTTACGGAGGTCGGACTTGATGACTAATACTGTTGCTGGTATTGAATCTGCACCCTTGGATTTAGACGAACTTCATGTCTTAGCCGTCGATGACAGCCTCGTTGATCGGATTGTCATTGAGAGATTGCTTCGTATTACCTCTTGCAAAGGTTTGTTTTTCTTCCTTTTCTTTCTCTTTTTTTCTGTTTTTTCTTCTCCTCGCCGGAAAAATTAAATCCCCGGTGGTTTCGATTTTCAGTAACGGCGGTAGATAGTGGATGGCGTGCTTTGGAATTTCTAGGCTTAGATAACGATAAAGCTTCTCCTCAACTCGATGTAAGCTATATTTTTGATAGAATTCTTATTTAGAGAGTCAATAGAGATTTCGATTTGGATTTTGCTTTTCGAGGATTCCTGATTTTGAGATTTTGTTTACTTACAGAGATTGAAGGTTGATTTGATCATCACTGATTACTGTATGCCCGGTATGACTGGTTACGAGCTTCTCAAGAAGATTAAGGTCTCTCCTTCTTTTCCCGCCGTTTTTCCTCATTCAGACAACTTTTTTTTTTTTCTCTTTTTAATCACAATGTGGAATATTCCGGTCGGCTGAAACAGGAATCGTCTAATTTTAGACAAGTTCCGGTAGTAATCATGTCGTCAGAGAACGTAGTAACAAGGATCGATAGGTGAGTGTGAGAGACTCTTCGATTTTGATTTTGGGATTTTTTAAGAAACTGTTGATTTGATAAAATAAATAATGGAAATGAACAGATGCCTTGAGGAAGGTGCCCAAGATTTCTTACTGAAACCGGTGAAACTCGCCGACGTGAAACGCCTGAGAAGTCACTTATCCAAAGACCTCAATCTATCCAACGGAGGAAACAAACGCAAGCTTCCGGAAGATTCTGATTCCGTTATTCCTCCGCCGTTGACTATTTCGCCTGAGTCGTCATCGTCGCCGCCGTTGACTATCTCGCCTGAATCGTCGGACTCTTCACCGCCGTTATCTCCGGTTGAGATGTTTTCATCATCGCCGGTTTCGTCACCGATAGACGATGAAGATGACGATGTGTTGACATCGTCGCCGGAGTCTTCTTCTTCGTCGTCGCCGATACGAAGGCAGAAGATGAGGAGTCCCGGGTTAGATTAGTGGGTGCTGGGATGCCGTCGTGTAATATCTCTCTATCTCCTCCGTTAACTGTTTTTTCTTTTTCTTTATGGTATTTTTACCTTTGACGGTGTTTTTAATTGCACGTTGACTTAACGCCGTCAAATTTATAGATGTCCCTTTAATCTCGCTCCACGTGGGTCTTTTCCTTTTTCTCCTTAAAGTTTTTTTCGAATTTCTTACTCTTTTTTTTTTGTCGACGCGAATTTCTTACTTTATAATCTTGTTTTAAAGTTTTAATTTCTGCACAAAAGTTATGGTTTTTTTGACTTTATATTGCAATCGAACCTTCAACATTCACACCATTTACTGTTTGATAACGAAACTTGAAGATTGGTTCGGGTATAACATATGTATTTCATTAAAAAATGAATATAATAAAAACGCTGTATTATTTTGACGCAGTTGTATTTGAGTTTTGTTAAACGCCATAGGTATTATATTATCAATCAATAAGTTAGCTAGATACGAAAATATTTACAAGAATCAAAAAGCTAATTAAGGTTTTTTCTTTTTTCCAAATACAACAACTACTAGTAAATGGAAATATCGTAATTAAAGAGTTTAATTGTTGCTTGAACAGTTATCAGTCTACCACCCAAAAATATTGCTATTAAGACTCTCTAATGCAACTTTTTAACATACAAATGTAACACCTCCCAAATAAATACTAGGACGAAGTGGATGCATCATCATTATGCATGTGTTAGAGAGACTAGAGAGAGTAAGCAAGAAAAAAAAAAAAAAAAAGAAGTAGTAGAAAACAAACAAGGGAGGGAGGGAGGGAATAAATGGAAAAGCTGGAAATGGGCAACTCTTGTTCCCTTCGTTTGGGGCATATATTTCTCCATAAATAGTCTCTATAGATCCGTTGTCTCTGGCACCCATTTTGGGTTTGGTCTTCTTTTTTGTTTTATGGTCCATATAATAATGTGTGTTTTACCCCAAGTATAGTACTTAGTAGGATCTTCTCCATATGGATACCACGCATATGCTTATATGAAAGGCTAACTAATGCTTCAGTTATAGCCAATGTTAATTAAAGAGGACATCTTCAGTTGTTTTATTGACATAACATAAACTATATTGGATTTAGCAAGTAAAAATCATGATGTATAGTAGTACTATTACTGTTAATGACAGTAGCAAACCACATTGGAAGGACGGATTCAAATTAAAATAAAAGAAAGAAAGAAAGAAAGTGTAGATGCAATGTATATAACAACAAAACCATTAATTATTGTCGACAACAAAATCATCCCAAAACGATACTCCTCACGTTTGGTGTATTTTTTTAACTAAGAGAAAAAAAAAAGAAAGAAATCCTTGGTTTGCGTTTTGTCCCTTCATGTGGGGGAATAATAATAAATCTCCCTACCACACATCTTTTCGGGTACTGTATTGTTGTCCCGATCGCTGTTGCTTGTGTCTTTTCCACGTTTTTCTTTGTTTGTTTTGCTTTAGTACTCTTTGATGAGTCTTTGACCTAATGTCGTCGATTGCTTTTGTCCACGGCTAGTCCATTGCTTTGGTATTCATTGTATTATTTTGAAAACTTTGAATCTTTATGTTCTTTATTATCTTCCAAGTGGAGAAACAACATATATCACAAGTAATCTTAGTTTCTTTCTTATTGTCTGTATTCGAGTTTAATGATCCAGGGTAATATGTAAATGAGCATCGTCCTCCTCCATATATATTAAATTAATTACTTCTTATGGCATGCACCGTTTACTATTGCATTCTCCACTAAACCTCTTTTAATTGTATAGAGTGATCCGACCCGGGACTGGACATTGTATTGAAGGGTGCTAGGATCCATTTTTACATTGTTGTTGATTTTGGATTATTATTATATATTTTTTTTTTTATTCTCTCATGCAAAAACTTTTCCACATCCTCGGTGATTTGCAATTTTTTTCCCCTTCTGTTGGAATCAAAGTGATGTTATTCTTCTTCCGTATAAGGACTAATATAAGGATGCTGAATGAACATAATTAGAGTCTTCAATTTTGGCAACTTTGGTATCATATATATTCTAATACAACTATACACCAAAACTTAAAGGCTCCAAACGCAAAACGCAAAACAACTGTGGAGAAGTGAATCATGAGCCATATGATCCCAGTTCATGTCACATCAAAAACAAGCAAACTTCTCTACCACCAAAAGCTTTGCATATTCTCTAAAAGCCAGAGAGCCGTTACCACTAAGAGCCTCAACACCAACACCTGAAACAAGATTACGTATCAGCAAAATGTAGCACCGTTACATCGAGGAAGATCCCACAGCCTTTCTATGATGTAAGAGGGGAAAATTTTAATGAATGAATTGGAGTAGGTACCAGTTTATAGAGAAGGCAAGGCACAAAGTCTGCAATTCAGCATTATGTGAAACCGTGATATTCTTCTCTGTTTAGAGATTTCACTAACTCTATTACGCCTTGGTCCCTCTGAATTCGGGTTTCCCTGTTTGCTTCTATACAAAAGATCTGATGTGTTTGCTACATACTTCACCTACATCAGTTGAATCATTGGCAAAGTAAGTTTCAGTCATCCACATATATACAGTTCAGACATCAAGTCTTTCCCAACACAAGAGAGTTTCATTATATATTCTACCTTTGAGGAACTGCAAGCCGTTTTCAATTCAATCTCGTTAATAATATTCAATCCTTCCATTGCAATTGTATCCCCCGTAGATTCATTTAAACCAGTCAATATCTCCTTGTTCCTGTACTGAGTTTGGTTAAACATTCCTGTGGACCCAAAGAATGTATATATTACATATCATATTCTTTTATCATGCTTCCTTCACCTTTTCAGAAACAGTCCATGGCTCTCTTCATCATTGACGGGTGTCAGAAATTCATTTTGTAGATAATTTGCAAATTCCGGCTCCATCGCTACACCCGTTACTTCAAGCTGGTTATTCCCGCAGTTCATAAACTGAATAGAGAGACGTGTATTTGCTGGTGACTGCAATCAGTTCCAAAGTAATATAAGTACATTACGGAATTTGAATGGGAAAGATGTGTAGCTAACAGAAACCTACATATCTGATCCTGTATATGTTTGCCTCATGGAGGAGGGCACGTGCATTCTCATGATACACTAGATCAAAGAATCTTCCCGGTTTTCTGTAGTTCTCATACGCATGTAGTTGCAGAAGCTTGGTGTCTGTCTCATCAGCTGCAACCGCATGGAGCTGAAGCATATCCAAACCATCACAATGTCAGGAAAGAGATAAAGAAAAAAAAGAGACTCGGAAGTTGGGAGTTGAGAAGGCAATACACTAGTTTTGCTTACATGCTTGACAAACTTCTGAACTAACTTGTCCAGCGTGAAAAGAACATATGACTGTGCTCCAAAAATAGCTCGGCATTCATCTTCAAACTTTGTATTGTCACTAGAGCCGTCAAGTAAATTATAGAGTGCATCCATGAACCTAAAAGTGTATATGCTTCCAAAATCAGTAAGAAGTCATTTTTCAATATAAAGCCATTAACTTGGAAGATAAATCACCTGGGATAAGAATCAGAAGTTGTGTTATCTGGAGCCTTCCACTTCTTTTCTGAATGCTTCTTTGCTGATTGAATTCTCTCATACAACATCTGGAAAATCAGTAGAAATTAACACGGGAGGATAAAATCATCATATTAAAGACTTGAGAAGCTTGCTTCGAAAAGTCCTTACTTGATGAAGCCTAAATAGCACATAATAAGAATCATTCCCGTAAAAAACCCGAGAATCATTCTGAGAGCAAGTTTCACTAGCTTGCAATGGCCAAGACACATGCTTGGCAACAGGTTTTACAGTTTGAAGAAACTGTTCTGTAAATACAAAGGATCCATCTTCACCTTCATTTCCATTAGCCACCTCTCGAGCCACATTAGCACCCCCCTTACAGCTCATAACTCCCTTATGCTTTGCATGACAACCAAACTTGGTTCCTGATACAAGCATTTCAGGGGCAGTCTCATTATCCTCTGATAACTTGTGACCATTTTCTTTATAGTCATCTTCAGGGCGAGTATTGCCCTTTGCTCCCGTTTCAGTGCAATATGCTTCCTTTTTATCACAATTTTGTTGGTCCGTATTGCTTGTTACATTGTCCATCCCTCTCTTTAAATGCCTGAGGCCATTTTGTCCTCCAACATCAAAGTTGCCTTGCTCACAACTGTTAGTGGGAGATAATTCACCCTCTTCTCGCTCAGCATCATGATTTCCTACTGATACTTCCTTAACCCTACGACTCCCTACATCCTCTGTTATCTGATCATTTCTGGGTGACACAAGTTTGGTAGACTGGATACCCTGCGGACCATGAACCAAAATTTGGGTAACATCAATAAAGTTTCGTAAATAAATAAACTGATGACTGGTCTCTACTAAATTCTCATCAAGGTGTCAATTCGGTAATAAGGAAGGTAACTTCCCATTTAATTTCATCACAACCAGTGCATACAACCTGAGTTTGAAACAATTCTACACAAGGGGTTACCTCATTAGACATAGCTGTGGCATCTTGCAGTTTATCATGCTGAGCAGTTTTCACTATATTGGCTGAGGCATCTTTCCCAGTAGAGCTTCCTTGCATTGTTGGATTATCTTTCACCAGTTTTGGGGATATTGGATGTTTACGGTTTGACCCAGAAGAGCTGTCCTTTACTGCCACGGATGCATTATGCAATTCTTGGTTGTTTTTCAACTTTGATGCATCTTCCATAGCACGGTCACCTTGAGACCTTGAAAGAGTGCCAAACATGGGCTCCAAAAAGGTTATCCACAGCTTCATTACCTTATCCGATTGTTCAGTGGCACATGTTTCTTCACAGTAATACTTGATAAGCAGATATAAATCCTCGTGAATTTGTGTATCACAATAATCAAATTCCAAATCTGGTTGAAAAGAGGGCATAGTCCTAACAGCAATAGCTTGAAGCAGATCTTCTTGATGCTTTTTCTCACTGATATCTTTTATCTCCGCCACTAAACCTGTAATTTAAGGACACAACGAAACAATGGCATTAACTACAAAATATGGGTTCACTCTACTCTCATAATCAGCAATCTATTAATAGATTAATAGCACTTTCTATCGCTTCAGCATCCTCTCTTTAAAATGGCGAGATAGAGATAGAAGTTGCTAATGGATTAGCCCTACATTTTTTCCTGTGAAATTTCAAGTGCAGGTAAAAACGTGGTTTTATCAAACCTAAAGTAGGTTAAGATTTTGATTAAGAAGCTTACATTTTGTGCTCAAGTTCTTAGAGTCCTGCTGCTTGAAATAGAAACTACGATGATCTAGTGACTTATGGTGATTCTTAGCATATACTTCAGCCCACACTTTCTGGAAATCAGAGTGGCACCTTGCCCATTCTTCTTGCTTCTGCTTCATGCGGGTCAGTATCACCGGTAAAGCACTATGCATGTTTTTCTTCAAAAGATCCATCACATCAAGGCCATTATCACCGTATAACCGCTCAATGCATCTTAAGTTCATAGCTATTAGATACAATCACATAGAGTGTTATAGCACAAATAAATGAAGATCAGACAATCTATAGCCACATTAAATTTGTTCCAAACAAACAACTTACCTGATAAGTATTTTTCGATGCATATAGTAGTGTCGACTGAGATAGTGTTGTTGTTCATCTTTTCCAGAAGGTTTTCTACGTTTTTAATGGCTGAACTTACAGACCCTAGTAACATGTCCATTTCATACCTGAACACGTGTTAAGAATGTTAAAGTTAAACTGTGAGATTCTATCAACAACAAAGAATCACCATTCTCAATGATAGGTTCCAGACAAACTAAATGAAAGGAGAGAAGTCCCTACCATCTAGAAGATAAAAGCATGCCAAAGTAACAGGAAAAAATCTATACGGACATAGAACAAGACAATACATGAACCTACTATACTGTATATAAAAGGTGGACAAGGAAATTTGTCATCAGATGCCCAAAAAATAAAAAAACAGAGAAGTACCAGAGCATACCTGTCATCCTCACACCGAAATAAGCTTTCTTCATACTGGTTTTTGCGCATATGACTGAATGAGTAATCTTCACTCCCGGAGGTGACAGATACCAGGTGGTCATTGAGTGTCGATTTACCAAGTGTATTTCTGTAGCTTGGAATCTCAACTGCATACTGCATGGGAAAAGGCCAACCATATGGTATAAGAGAACAAAATAATATAGTAAATTACAGTGTAGTAAAACAATATTTAGGAAAATACCCACATCTTTTGGCAGGAGCCGATAACTTGGCGTACACTGAGTGCATTCCGAAAGATCAAGTTCATTTATAGGTGTTCCCACATACTTGGTAGTGGGTTTGTGATTTCCGATATCTTTACCGCCAGATGCTGCACTTTTTTCAGTCCTATCTGCTGTATCTGTTTCAGTATCTTCTCTATTTTCATCATCTTGAAAATATCCTGGCTGACCTTCTTTGACAAGGGAGTCTGCAAAACTTAAATACCTTACTACCACATATAAATTAATGACCACTTAAACCATTAACAAAGACAAGATTGAGTATGATCAAAGAATACAAAAATGAAGAGAAAGATTCTGCAAAAATTTAACATAGTTGAACCTCAGAACAAGATACATACCACTGACTACTTAAGTCATAAACAAAGAAAAATTTGACCATGGTCACAAAATTTTAGATGAGGGTACGTTGGGAAAGATATGACTTGCTTGCTTATATTGAATTCACTAGATAATAAAAGACATTTTCACAATCATAAACCATCAAAATACTCACTTCCCAGAGAATTACCAGGGGAGCAAGCAACAAGGTTCTCATCACCATCTTCTTGTTGATCAAAGTGTTCAGAATTATCCTCAAGCTTACATCGTAGTTTGATTTTCTGTGCAAAAAAGTGTGTATCAACATCTCACTAAGAAAAAATCCCTATGTAAATGCTATATTATAATGCTTATTTGATCTTGATCTTAATTTATGAGACTCTTAAAACAATGGAGGAAAGGATGTATGGCCATAACGGATTTCTGCTACCAGTAAAACATTACCAACTGTAATATGCTATCCTTACAAAGATGACTAAGAGTAACCTTATCAGAATGCATGGCAGAAGTTGCAGTGCCCTTGTGACGCTGTACTGCCTTCTTTGCTGAAGGAGCTGATTCTGGAGAATTAGGTAAGAAATTAACGAACTCCATGAGCAGATCTTCATGACCCTTGAATAACATAGTAACCTACACAACAGAAAATATCAGAGAACTGTCTCCCTAACAAGTAAAATGTGAAGCAGAAAGTTTGAAGAATTAACACTCTGTGCATTAACAATAAACATACCTCTTTGTAGACCTCAGAGATGGACTTTCTTTCCTTTCTATACATGTTCAAGATGTCTAGAAACCTTTTGTAGGCATGTTCATCACCTCCGAACCTTGTCTGCAAAGATCGAAACTCCAGTAAACCTTAACTGATAAAAAAATCAACTTTACCTTAGTAACATTTACCACATCACATACAAACCTTAATCTTGGTGACAAAACCGATAGCGTCTTTGAAATCCACCCGGACCTTAGGTTTCTCTTCCTCCGGAAGAAGGGTTATTTTATAACCTTTGGGCAAGAAGGTATTAAAACCTAAAAGTAAGTCCCTGTAACCCTTGAACAATTCTTTAATTCTTTCTATGACACCTTCAGTATCAATTCTGCAAGCAACACATAAGACACCATAAATACACGCAGTTCACATTGTGACAACCACAAACACACGAATTCCTTCTGTGACCTCAATAAGAAAGCCATAATGAAACTAAACTAAACTAAACATACCTCTGAGCTTTAAAGTCCTTCATGAGCTCAAGGAATGACTCATATTTCTCTTTCTTGTCTTGAAAGATGTCCTTTACAGCTTTGAGATACGACAGGGCATCGGTGGTACGAGGTTTCTTGTTTCTGCATTGCACAAACGCAAGTAGCTCAATACTTTTAAAAACATTTGAATTGCAGCTAACTACATCGAAGAATTTGAAACTTGTGACTACGGAACAAAAGCGAAATTGAAAAGAGAGAGTTACGTTTCTCCTCGAGATGAAACCTCAGGCCTTCGCTTTTGAGGTTCAGTGTGCACATCTTCTCTAAGTCTCTTCATCTCTTCTTCCAAGAAAAATCAGGTTTTTTAGCAGCCAAACAAAACTGACCCTGAAAATAAATTCAGGTCCATGTAAACAGCTCGGTATCGTTAACCCTACTAGTAGATCTATCATCGGAAAATCGAACAAAAATGGGAAAAAAGAGGAAAAAAAAAAAAAAAATCAGAGATTTTGATTTTATAACCTTTGTAGAACAGATCACGCAACTCAAAAGGTGAACAGAGCTTCTTTCGTTCCTTTGGTTAGCAGATGAAACTTGGAAAGAGGTGAGAGGATCGGCGAAAACGTTAGCCGCCGGAGTTTTCAAGTAGAAAGGTTTAGACGGAACCTTGGTGAAATGAAAAGCAAAAGAAGCTTCGCTTTTCGAGTCACCGGGCAGATAATTTGAAAATATGTTATCCAATGGTGAGATTGCTTCTGCTTAGGAGCAATCTCAATCTCTCTCTCTCTCTGGTGGTTTTGGGAGCGGAGGAGGGAAGAGGGTAAGGCAACGGGACGAGTAGGAGGAGGAGGAGGAAGAAGAGAGAGGAGGAACTTGTTATATATATATTACCCACAAAAATCTTTCATGTCTCTACTTCGGAGCTAAGTGGAAGGTTACAAAATTGGTACAAACTAACACGTATAATCGCGTAATGGTAAAAAGTTTACCAGTCAAAAAATTATATATAATATAAAAGGTAAAAAGTTTACCAGTCAAAAAATTATATATAATATAAAAGGTAAAAAATTTACGCGTTGTTATCAACAGAAGTAAATTAGAAATTATCATTATGCAAACAAGTAAATATATATTGCTTATTTCATTATATATATATGAATTTCTATTATTTTATTTATATCAGATATTGGCAATTGTAAAACAACGGAAATTATTATTTACAATAAAAAAATAGACTATATTTCAAACAATATTTTAAAAAATTTCATAATTTCAGTTGCGATTTGTATTTTACAAGTTCTTACAATTTATATCATCATACGATTATGAAATTAACAACAAAACCAAAATATACAATGCATGCAAATGAAATCTAGAGTTTTTTTTTTGTAATAGTTTAGTAGTAAGTAAAAAAGTAATATCATAATACTTACCAAAAGAAAAAAGTAATATGATAATTACACCTAAAAAAAGGTCGGTCACATTTTCTTACAATTGATATGATGCTATGTAAGAAAATGAACAAATAATATTATTGAGTCGATTGTAATTTAATACTGAATTTAACAAGGAAATTAATGTTTCATTTCATGGAATTTCGTATATGAGCGGCTTATTTTAAAAGTAATCAGCAATAGGGCGTTTGGTCTAGTGGTATGATTCTCGCTTAGGGTGCGAGAGGTCCCGAGTTCAATTCTCGGAACGCCCCTATTTTGTTTTTTGAAATTTCCCCATTCCTTGTCCGTTGATTCTCTCCACAGTTCAGGCCCATTTGTCCGACTACGAAACTAGCAGAGGCCTCAATCATAAGTCTACTACTACCAATTCAACCTAAATATCTTTAGCTTTTGCTATCAAACACAATTTGTAAAACAAACATAAGCTGACTAATTAGCGAGTGAGTGGAGGAAATGACAGTACAGTTTGTTTAGACAAATTAACACAGCTCGGTCCGAACCCCCACGTGTCACTTATTTCAAATACAAATACTATCCGGTTTGGCTTAATTCTCTCCCTTGTTTTGTTTTGAAAATTTAAACTAACGAATCAAACAGAAAAGTATTTTACTATATTCTTTTTGTTAAGACCAACTTATACAAAAATTAACAGGAAAACCGAACTTAAACCGGGTCATAAAACATATGTACTTGTTGTGTTATAGACTGCCCACTTTTATTTTAGTTAAAAATAAAAAATAAAACACAAATATCCAATTTTTCTCAGCCAGGAGAGAGAGAGAGAGAGGCTGTGAACACGAAGACCAGAGAGCCACGATTTGATCTCCGGTTCGAACATCTTACTTAGCCTTGCCGGTACAATCTTCGGCGATTCATCTTCTTCCATCTGTGAGTATATAGGATCGGTGGGTTTGTGGAGATGCCGTCGAACGGAGATCTGGACCGTCAGATCGAGCAGCTGATGGAGTGTAAACCGTTATCGGAGGCGGACGTGCGGACGCTATGCGATCAAGCGAGAGCGATCCTTGTTGAGGAATACAACGTTCAGCCGGTCAAGTGTCCTGTTACCGTTTGCGGCGATATTCACGGCCAGTTTTATGACCTTATTGAGCTCTTTCGTATCGGTGGTAACGCTCCTGATACTAACTACCTCTTCATGGGTGACTACGTAGGTCTGTCTTTCTTCATCTTTCCTTTTTTTTTTTTTGGGTTTTTGCTTTTTGAAATAAAATTAGATCTGCGTTCTTGGATGATTTCAAAAATGGTGAATCTTGGGAAAGTTTCACCTTTTTTATATATCTAAAGTTAGTTACTTGTGGGTTCTGTTTTTTTTTTTTTTTTTTTTTGGGGAATGAACAACTTATTTCAATTTCTGCTTTTCGAATTGTTAGGTACTGAAATTTCCCAATTTAGAGAGCCTTGTGATGCTCACTTTCATAATTGTACTTGCTAGTATTCTAGCCTCTAGATCCTTCTTTTTAATTTTTCACTGGTTTACTATACGCTTATGTGAGTATGATCTAAGTTTGCTTTGCTGGTTTAGCTAGCTTCATCAGTTTGTAAGGAAATGTTTTTGGTTTCTTATTGTCTTGCTTTTGTTCATTAATTTGCAGACCGTGGCTACTATTCAGTAGAGACAGTTTCTTTATTGGTGGCACTGAAAGTGCGATACAGGGATAGACTCACAATCTTGCGGGGGAATCACGAGAGTCGGCAGATTACCCAAGTGTAAGCTTTTTGTTTTCTATTATGCATAATGATGATTTGATACTTCAAAGTCTGATGCGTGTTTTTTGCGTCTCTGTTTCAGCTATGGTTTTTATGACGAATGCTTGAGAAAGTACGGAAATGCTAATGTCTGGAAATATTTTACGGACCTTTTTGACTATCTTCCTCTTACCGCCCTCATCGAGAGTCAGGTTTGAGCTTTTCTTTTCAGTTGGTGTTTGGAACATCCTTCTTCTTACATAAAAGCTTTGGCTTCATCAAATATTATCTATTCCGTACAGGTTTTTTGTTTGCATGGAGGGCTTTCACCTTCTCTTGATACCCTTGATAATATCCGAAGCTTGGATCGGATACAGGAGGTATTATTACCTTCTTAGTTCTTCTTGGCTCTCTGCATTCTCTCTCTTCTTGAGATAGAAAGAACAAAAAGGATTTGAAGTTTTCTATATAGATCTTATAGGTCATCTCTTTGAACTATGTATGGTGTGATCTGTAGGTTCCACACGAAGGACCAATGTGTGATTTACTATGGTCTGATCCTGATGATCGCTGCGGATGGGGAATATCTCCACGAGGTGCTGGTTACACATTTGGACAGGATATCGCAGCTCAGTTTAATCACAACAATGGACTCAGTCTCATATCAAGAGCGCATCAACTTGTCATGGAAGGTTTTAACTGGTGTCAGGTATGTACATTCATGGGGTCATCATCTCTCTACTTAAGTTCTTATGGCATGATTGGTCTGTCTCTTGCAGATTGAATTGTTTATCTCTCTCCTTTTTATGGTGTAATAGGATAAGAATGTAGTGACTGTGTTTAGTGCACCAAACTATTGCTATCGGTGTGGAAACATGGCAGCCATCCTAGAGATAGGAGAGAACATGGAGCAGAACTTCCTTCAGTTCGATCCAGCTCCTCGACAAGTCGAACCCGATACTACCCGTAAGACCCCTGATTATTTTTTGTGATTTCTCTGTTTCTTTTTTTTAGTGCCGACCATATATAAATTTTTGGAATTCCAGTTTTCTTGCTTATGTATCCTTGTAGATGTGCCCTTTTCTTTTTTTGTAAGTGGAGTTCGAATTTCCCCCAAAAAGAATAGAAAAAAACATCATTTTTTTTGTTGCTGTTGAGGTGTTTGCTATAAAAAAAAGTTTGTAGGAGAGGCTTATATATTATATAAAAGAGTGTCTTTTTCATTCATGCCTACATACCCCAGAATACAGGCTTCGAAGTTCGAACTATACCAGATTCATCTTTAACTATGGATAAGTTCAAATTTGTTATCTTTCCAACCATATGGTATACGTTATATGTCAAACAAGAGAGAATCAAGAGTTCTGCAAGTTAGTAATTAGTTAGTGTAATCGATTACAACATTTTGTTTACACAGAAAAGTCTCATGGCAAGAATACCAATAATGGAAACTAAAAGCACTACAATTACAAACAGAGATGTCTAAGTGAAGATTTCTATATATCAATACAAACTAAAGGCCTAACAAAACTTCCAGTATTGCACAGTGGCTGGGAAAGTGGCAGCCTAAATATACAACAAACCTCATACATGCCTTTTCTTTTTCTCCTTTCAATTCTTCTTTGGTGCTTTGGGTCGTGACCTCATGCTGGCTCTCCTAGCCACGTCCCATGCTTTCTGTGGCGCGTAAATACCCAATTGAGATGCAAAGAATGACTCATAACCAGGTGAATCAAAGGCAAAACCAGTGTGTTTTGAGATTTCACGAGGCAATTGGGATATCGCGTAGCTTCTAGCTTCTTCTGGTGTCAGCTCGTTTGCTATCTCCAGTTGATCTGCATTACTGCTATCGGGCTCGTGCCTGTGAATCTCTTGAACTATTTGATAATCATATGGGAGGAACCATCTCTCCACTCTGCATTCATTCAGAAAATTTTCATGATTAATAACAATTCAGCAAATTCACGCTATAAGCATGTCGCTTGCGAATGAAGTATAAATATTCAAGTTTTACTTACCCTTGGTAGATGAAATCTGCCAGAAGAGCAACAACCGGAACAAGCAGCAATGTGAAGTAGAAATAAAATGTACTCATTAGGACATAGATTACGAAGTAGACATTCTCCTGCATACACAGAAAGCAAAAAAAGTTAGATCAGAAACCAAATCATATATAATATTAGGGAACCTTTTCACCCAATGCGGGTAACATAGCTTACATTTCTATCATGTGGCGTCATAATCCCACAGTATACAAAAGCAAAAACGAGCCATGCTAAGATGCTTCCGCCAACTGTGATATGATGCCATCTGGTTATCGAGTTGCTCATCAAAAGAATCCGTAGGTTCACGGCTATGACCAGACAGGTAAAGACCATTGTGCTCACGTCCCAAAGACCAAACGTTTTGCCTGACGAATTTTTGCCATCAAAAGCTGAGGCAGTTACGAAGAGATAGCATACCAAAGATTGATACACAGCAGAAGAAGCCCACACTGCCACAACTCTCCATTTGAAAAAGGAATTACGAATTCCCTCTCTATACAGTTCAGGATATCTCTTTGACAGGGATGCGCTCACATCCTAGCAAATGCACAAGTCCGTATCAAATTATCGATCAAAAACAAAAATTAAGGCACACATGATGGTATTTAAGAATACTCATCATAGACCTAATGGGGAAATCATTACCTTTTCAAACAGCCCAAGAACAATCACAGGAAGGGCTGTAAAGCAAACGTTGTATAATGACTGAAACCAATCATCATAGAACCTCTGACCCGAAAATCCAGTTCGAAATGTGAACCAAAACTGAGTCAAAGTGAAGGTGAGATTCTTGTAGAAGAAATACATGACCACCTGCGAAAACAAAAGACCGTCAGTCACAGCAACATTAGAAGAATTTGAGGTGAGAGACCAACCTTGCAGATTCTAAGATATGACCACCTTCCATGGACAAGAAGCAAATCTGTAAGAAATCTAAACTGGGCAATGGCAAAGTCACTAGCCATCACAGCTTGCATTCCCTCCATTCCACTTATTCCTACACCAACATGAGCGGCTTGAATCATGCTAACATCATTGGCACCATCACCAATGCTAAGTGTTATCTTTTTTGCCCCTTTTCTCACCAAGCTTGTAACCTAATATTCGCATTAGTGTCTCACTTATTAAAACTCAGAGATTAGTCACAAAAGTAAATTAAAAGGTAAGAACATATGTTCCTATTGCGCAACAAATCACCAGAACAGCAATAATATGCTGTTATTGCAGAGAGAAATACATTATAGGGCCCTTTTCTTCCATATCAGACCACCATGTAAGTATTAATCAATAAACAAGTCATGAAAATTACCTGCGCTTTCTGTAAAGGAGAAACGCGACAGCACACAACTGAAGTACAGTTTAAGCTCAAGCTGAGCAAAGTTATACGTAAAACCGGGTCTAACGCATACATCAGACACTTCCCATCGATAACAAGAGCCAATTTCGGTCCAGCTACAGTATGCATATACTGTTGAGCTTCTTCAAGGCTCTTCTTCAGTTCCTTCTTTACTTCTTCTTTAATGACACGCGCAATTTCAACTTGGTTGCCCTAGTTTTAGATAATTTTTTCAACTATTAGGACTCTAATCAATGATAATCAAAGAGGCATTTGTATGACTTACCCTTTCTTCAGCTTCCTTGATCGCGTTAGTTTCAGAACTGATAATAAACTGTTTCATCTCATTGTTGATTAAGTTGCAAGCTGAAACATTATGAGAATCAAGGAGCACAAAGTTAAAATGGAAGAAGAACAAAGAAGGAGTATGAGAAAAAAGTTTATGGCACTTACCATATGCGATGTTAATTGCAGTTTCCATCTTGTCCCCTGTTAGCACCCAGATCTTAATCCCAGCTCTTGATAAGGTCTCTATGCAGCTAGGTACCCCTTCCTGAAGCTTGTCTTCTATTGCAGTTGCTCCAATCAGGATAAGATCCTTCTCAATAAGTTCTGCAACCTGCATGGACCAAGATTACAAATTTATCCTGCTATAAGTAAAAGAAAGTATTTCTCGGCAACTCAAAAGTACACCACTTTCTGTGCTATATGATGAAATATGAATATCAGTTCAACAAGTTCTTACTGCCACTGCTAGCCAGTTTCTATCTCCGCATTAACATCAGCTTTGCAAGTAAAAATATAACAAAAGAGCATTATACCTCATCTAATTTCTTCTCACGATCTCGTAAAGCAGACTTGGCCTGGATGAATTTTTCATTCCAACTATCATAGACTTTAGGATTTAAATCTTTATAGGCCAGGCAAAGGGTACGCAACCCAGACGATCCAAAGTGTTCCAAGTGCTCGCCTGTTACTTTTCTAACATCATCCATACCGTAAGCCAATCTTTCAAAAATTACAGTATCTGCACCCTGTAGACATTAAAGTAATATCATATTGATATGAAACAATACAGGCCCATCCAATTACCTAAAAAAGTGTTTACCTTACAGTAGAGTACAAGTCTCCCATCTGGAAAACGACACACCACTGACTGGCGCTTCCTTGTACTGTTAATGTATAGTGTAACGTTTCATTAGTATGCTTCACCACAGAAAAGAGATAACAAGGTAACACTCAGCAGCCTTATACACCTGTTGAACTCGAGAACATTAAGAATCTCATAAGAAACATCTTGAATCTTTCCCATCTGCTCCGTGTGAGACTCGCGAACATACACCGTAGTTGGCGTACGCCTGAAAATACATGAAAGTTGTCTCACAGAAATTCATAGAAACTTGAGAAATAAAAACCACCTTTTCTCAGCTCATTGTGAAACAAATACAAAAATATGCATTAAAATGATTAAGTATGGGCCTAGCTTAAACTCTATTCTTGTCAGATTGCTTGCACTTTCAACTTGTCTAACAGAAACTGAAATGTAAATGAGAATAACCTGTAAAAGAAGAATCCAAAATTCTTAGCGGCTGTAACTAGAGCAGCTTCATCAGGAGATGCAGCTTGATAAACGATTTTCTCAGGGGACTCATCCCCTTCAGGAAGGACTGTATGGCATATGACTAGGCATCTAAAAAACTCCTACAAAATTTAAAATATGATACATTTAAGTTATAGTCAATTGCAAGCCCAAAAACAGAAAGGACGCATATGGTACCCCAAGTTATACTAAATTCTCTAAAATGGAAGCTTGTTGATAAGTTACTAGCTTTTCTCATTCTAAGCTCCAGAACAGAGACTAACGTTCAGGTCTTAGTCAATGCCAGCATACCAACTAAAAGGATCATATAAATTTCTTCAATATATTTCAACTCACAATCAAAAAAGAAACAGAAGGGATTTTTAAATTGCCCTGGCCTCTGCTTCCAATAGAAGGCAACTCAGGGCTAAAAACTAGTTTCTAAAGCATCAATAGAACACATACAAAGTCGTAAGTGAAATCATATACCACCTGGAAAGGAAATACACCTACATAACATCACAAAAAGGGAATATTTCATCATTTCTCCCAGAAAACATTGACTCAAGCTTCTCATATGGGAAGAGGTAAAAGTATTTTAAAACTAGCCAAATCATACATCAACTAGCTATTACAATTCTTAACCTAATTGTGAACCAAATCTACAGGATATGAAAAACACCTTGCAAAGATTGGGATTAGGTTCATTTCTCCAACCTCCTAGCATAAGCCTCGGATCATCGAAATTAAATCCCTTTTCTCTTATAGCACCAGTCGACCTTTGTTCCTGAGGAAATTAGAGCGTACAACAAGTAGATCATTTGTTGTTCCAAAATGGGTGACCCAACTTCATCATTGTGTTAATCAATTATACCTCTTGAATTTTTAAGCCATCACGCTGAGCAATTCCTCTTTCTATTTCAGTGATACCACATCCATAACTTATTCCTCCAATTGAACACTTAAAAAACTCCATCAAATTTCTTGTCAGAGTTCCAGTTTTATCAGAAAATATGTATTCCACCTGAAAGATACAAATAAATAGTAATTGCATCTATGAATGTCAGATCACGAGAAAATTTGGCAACAATCCAGATGATTGCACCAAAACCAATAATACATGGGGTGATGGGTGAGTGGATTAGTAGTTTACCTGTCCAAGCTCCTCATTTAAATTTGAAGTCCTGGCGGAGGCAGGAGTGTTTGTCTCAACATGATACATGTGAAGATCTCGGTTGATAAACTGAGTTGACTGAATAAACTTGATCATCTGTGTTCCATTTAGGGAGGAAAAGAGGAGTCATTCAAAAAACTTAATTTTTGTACTGCACGTAAAAGAAATTAAAAAAAAAAAGATATTTGGATACACATACCTCGATAGAAACATATAGGGAGATTGGTATAATTGTAGAGAAAAGAGTGACTAGAGTAAAAAATGTGAAAAACGCTATCTGTGGCACCAAAAAGTACAATAAGAACCAACAATCCATAGATGTAAGAAATCAATTCACTATGCAAGGACAGCAAGGTTAACACCGTCAATCCATTACGGTATTCCCAATCTTTCTTATGAAGACCCAAATAATAGTGGTCACGATCTGTGACAATTGCACTGCAAAAGTTAACAGATTTTTAAATCCATGCGGGATCTATGAACCAAAAATATGATCAACTATCAACATAGAAATCTATAAGCAAATTAAAAATTGACTGAATCCATACCACCCTATAGCTCCAATCAGGCACATTATGACAAGGGCACAGAAGATTGTAATAATGAGTTTGTCGAGTTTTTTTTCCAGTGTGCTTCTTTTAGAGGGAGCATTCATGGCATTCATCATTACCTACATATATTCCATTCAGCATAAGTAGATCAGATCGTATACAGAGCAACTATACAAGGAAGCAGAAACAGAAGCATGTCAATAAAAAGACAAAATCCTGAATGCTAGCCAGTCTAATAAATTTTGTAAGGCTAGTTTCTCATCAAATGAGCTTCATGGCAGCTTACCTTTGTCTCATGACCAGTAAAAATCACAGCCCCAACAATGTATTTCGTGTTTCTAAGACTGCAACCCTGATAATTGGAATGCAAAAGATTTACAAACCCCAAAGATTTACAAAAGATTTATAATCTTGAATATTAAGATTATGTAGACAAAAGGCAGAAAAGGAACACAAAGCTAAAAACAGAAACAGTTGAGCATACACGCAACAAAAGCTGGTCTGGAGAGAGAGGTAAAGTCTGCTTTTCTACTATAAGATTCCCCGTGAAAGTGTACAAAGAATTATTAGGTTGCTCACACTGAATTTCGCCTGCAAAGTGAAAGAGAGAAATATTGGATAAAGTTAATAAATATAGTATAACATTTAACAACGCTGGTATACTAACAAACAACAGCTGTAGACCAAATGGACCAGTCAGGTAAAAAAAAACTGCTTTTAGATATACTTCCAAAAGCAAATGGATGAATGACACAAATACAGGCACATATTTAGCTATGAATATGTTTGCAAGATAATAATCGACCCCAACGACTTACCTTTAAATTGCGAAGCTTTCTCTGGTGTCAAGTAATCCCAAGTCCTTTCAAGGGCCTTTCTGATTTTTAAATTTGTTTCTCCATCTAGGTTGGCAGTCTGCACTCGCGACGAGAAAGCACATCAACAATAGAGTAAAAATGTATATTCAATACTACTGTAGCTGCTTGTTGTGCTAGAGAAAGACAAAATATATATATAGCTAAAGGAGCTAAGCACCTCCACGTAGCAGATACCATCAGGATTTGTACTGGACAGGAAAAGAAGATCAGCTGGAAAATAGCCATCTTTTTTAATCTGCAAAATATCAACAGAGTATATTTACCAAGCTTGTAGATTTGAAGTTCAAAAATAATTATAAGTTCTAAATCCATCCAAAAATGCAGCAGAGGCATGAATGCCTATCAATTCAAAAAGCCAGTTTGATGAAAAAAGCATGACACAAAAATTAATTTAGTAATTGATATCTACTGCGATGACTCAAATTGGGGAATTAGAAACTAAATATGTGTATCGACGAACAATATCTTGAGTTTTCAGCACATCCTTTTTTAATAGCTTGGTAATTAATTACTTCTGTCAGAAAAGTATACCTTGATAATATCTCCGACTTGTAACTTCCGCCATGGAATAGGCACCCATAGTTGATCTTGCAAAACCTCCACTGTGCTATTATTTATTGACATATCATTTTGAAATCGTTTCTGCAACAGATTACAGATTATTTGCAAAAGGATTTAGAAGTTAAGAAGCAGATGGGTCCTGAAACTCTTAAGCATTCACTAACTTGAACCAAATATGGACATTAACTGAATAACTAACTCTATTTCATTTGAAAGAGAGAAACAAATTTTTATGATTAAAAAAAAAAAAAAGATAAAACCAGAAGTCAGGCGTTACCCAGTCTTCAAAAGCCTCTTTAATAAGAGAGACGAGAAGCACCATTGACAGCGGGGCCACATTTGTTATTGGATTAACAGGGCTGCAGGAAAAACAATTACTCTAGTTACACTTTACTGACTGAAAAAACAATATTTTAGCAAGCGCATCCTAGGGATAGGCATGGCAACAGAATCTTGGAAAAATTGAACAAAAAATCTGTTTTTCGTACCATGGATCAAAGTCAGCTGTGACTAATAAATAAATAAAAAATCACATTCTCACAAAAGAAAGTCACATTCTCGCATGGAGAGGATGATGATTTCCCAGTATGGAAAAAAGAAAGAAGATAATAGCAAATTGATCAAGGCATGCTAAATAATCTATCTAAAAAACAAATACGTAGCACATTAACATAATCATGAAGTGCCAAGGAATTAGACTATATCCACATAAACCTCCTGAGAAGTGAGAAGTCTCATGGGCATACGAACAATTGTTTTGGTTACATTATAGCCAAGTGTTACCAGTCATCAGCACAAGTCAGTAGTAAAGATTAGATAATTGCCATGGAGGTAACATACCTTATTGGTGTCATTGATAGACATGAAATTCCAAGAAAGTATATATTTGCTATGCGCCTAAACTGTCAGCAAACACATTATTTCTCCGATCAGATAAAAAAAACTTCAAAGATTTAAGAGAATTGCAGTTTAATGAGACAAATATATGTACTTTCATTCCCCTCAAAACCTACAGGTGCATTTCAATCACTCCAAATATACATAAAACTAAAGGCCATTGACAAGGATTCTATAGTTGAAACTTGATGCCAGAGCAATAATGTAAACCTTCTTTTGTCTAAGTATTAACCAAAACTAAAAAAAATCCCTCCAGCTTATAACTAGTAAATGCACTACTGATATCAAATTAACAACAAAAACACTTACTTGTTCAAACAGACCTTTGGGCAGAAAGGTGAAAACATTATACTTTGTTGTAGAAATTGAATTACCCTGCAACAATGTTCACCCAACATTCATTACGCGAAAAATCACACACTGTCTGACTGAACGCCAAACAATATTTTTTTAAAAAATATGATCACATATTATCAACATAGGATGAGAAGAACCCAAAATTCAAAAAAAAAAAAAATGCCATTTCTGTAATATGCTAAAGGATTAAAAAAGAAGAAGAAGAAGAAGATTATGCAAGCGGAAATGAGCAGCAAAAGTACCTTGAACCGGACGGGGTAATTAGCATCCCGGTCATTGCAGTAAACGGTACGATAAGTCGGAGCCTGAGGTTGTATACGGCCCAGCGTCACGGTCCGAGACGGTGCCCGCAGGTGATTCGCTGAGGAATCAACGCTTAATTCTCCCGGCCTAACCATTCAAATTCGAAACAGAGCTTCACTATTTTACCCCTCTCTTAATTATCCGATTAACCGAGTGTGAGATCTGTACCGACGACGGTAGAAACACAGAGGACCATCTTCCTCTTTCGTTTCAACCTTTTTTCTTTTTATTTCTTTTCCTTTTTGCTTTTCTTTTTCGTGGATTTTAGCTCTTCTTCGCGCTTGTAAAATTTATCTTCCGAATTTATATATTTCTACGGAAACCAATTTCCCATGGTCTTAAAGCCCAAACCCATTTTGATTAGGCCCATAAGATAACTATTTTTGGTTCGTTTTGACAATTCCGACGACCTAATTTTCCCTCTTGTTTGACATTTTCGCCGGGAAAGAATCAAACTCAGATTTTCTGGCGGTCGAAATTCGAATTCTAAGGAAGACACCAAAAATGGAGCTGCTCAAGCTGTCAAAATTCAAATTGCAGCTTCATTCAATGATCGGAGAAGTGCGAGACCTACGTGTAAGCAAAATGAGGTTTCCATACATTTATTGGATTGTGTATATTTCTCAGCTCCACACTTTTCTCTCTTTCTTCTTCTTCCACTTCCCTACCGGCGTTTTTTACAGGAAAGGGAGCGACTAGTCACAGATCAGATCAATCTTCTGAATCAGGTTCTTCAATGTTATTGCACATTGCTCTTGTTTTTTGTTTCGTTTCTTAGTTCGTGATTCGTGATCATGTTTGTTTGGTGCTTCGATGTACAGAAACAGAAGCAAACGGAGGAGGAACACAGCAGGAAAGTGCAGGAGCTGCAAGCCGAGCTAGCATCTTCTAGAGAAACACAGGAGGCACTCGAGAGGAAGGTTTGTAAGACTATTTTGTTTTTGCGAATCTGTTACTGTAAGATATGGAGTTTGTCAAACTTTAATTGATTTTGCAGGTGAGTTACCTTCAGAACGACTATAGTTTGCTGGAAAATAAACAGAATGAATTGAAGACTACTATCCAAAACCTGCTTCAGTCACGAGAAAGTTTCTTAAATGCTTATCAGGTACTTGTCTCATGCACTTGGTAGTAGAAGTAGCTTAGAGAATCATCTCCCTGATGGGTGAACAGTTGAATTGTGTGTATATGGATACGTTTTCGCTCTAGGAATTGTGTAACTTCATATATAGTGAAAGTGGTGGTGTGTATGCAGGAGTCGTTTTGTGAAATGAAATGTTCAATTGAAGCCAGGGATAGGAAGATTGCCATTTTAAACGACAAGATAGCCTCTCATCTTACATTGTTTGATTCAATTGAGAAAGAGGCATCAACAATCAAAAAGGTTATACACGAAGTTCAGGGCCTTGTGGATCAGAAAGAAGATGTAGGCATGTAGATCCCTGTTCTCTTACTAATTCTGCTTGAAGATATGCTTTCAATATACTTAATGCATTCACAGCTTCCCCCTGACGCAATGATTGTGTTTCTGTTGTTTCTTGTATCCAGTGAGTGGCTTGAAAGAGAAAATGGACCATGTCTCTACATATGAAAAAGTGTTTATAGGTTAGTTTCTTTTCATTGAATCTGTGCTGGCGCTAACGTGATTGTTCATAGGTTACTTAATTGTTTTTCCTACGTTAATTGTTCATTTACTATTGTGGTCTTTTCCTTTGGCTCTAATTCTGTATGTTCACCTTTATGAAGACAATGATTTCTTATCTTCTTTACTTTGCAGAGAAAATTAGAAGTTTAGAAGAGAACATTGAATATCATGAAACGGAAATACAGAGGAAGGACACTATAATATCACAGCTTTCGGCTCAGCTGGAAGCAGAAAATATTAAAAGTGAATGTCAACATCAGATCGAAGAGATATCCAGTTTGCATGTTTTACAGCATTTTCAAAGAAGGGAACTAATACAAGATCATTGCTGTTAAAGCATTTTCTGCATATATGTTTACTTGACCAGCCTTACCTTCAGAAAACTTTGCAGGTTAAAGATTTAGTTGTAGAGAACGTGATTTCTGAAAAAGAGGTAGGAAAGTAGATTATTAGTTGTCTACTGGGTTTGATCCTTTTTGCATCCTCAACAGTCTCTATAAAAACTGCTCAAATGTTTAGGCATTGCATTCTGAAGTGAAGAGTTTGGAGATGATTTTACAGCGGATTCAGGAGTCTGTATCCCTTATGAATGGAGAGGTAGGTAACAGATAATCGAAAGTTCCTATAATTCTAACATTCTATCCTTGGATAATAATCTAGTGGTGAACTTTGAATTCGAATGATCAAATTGTTATGTTAAATCTTCTTTCATTCTCTTGATATGACAGGACAGAAGGGTGTTCACATCAATACTGACATTCGAACAATGTGCCGATGAGAGTAACAAAAGATCCAGGTCTGTAAAATCACTTTAACCATTTTTTGTTTCCCTACTGGTCCAAGGGTTTAGATTTCATACGAATTGACTTAATTAACATGATATGTTACAATAATTACCATTAAGGGTCTCCTTTGGGATGAACTCGGCAGCTTTTCTGTCTCTATTTTTTGAATAGTCCAAATCAATGCTTATCCCTCTTTGATTGGCTAACTAGGCACAATGACTCAGTTGACAAAATGGAGGAACTTTTATGCGAAGCTCCTATTATGCATTCTCAAGAAAACTCAGGTCAGCTCTACTTTCATCTGTTGTTGTGTTGTTATTTCCTTCCCTTAGAACTAAATATCGTCAGAAAGAGAATCCAGAAACAACATAAAACCATAACATCTTTGGCGTATAAATCTATGTATATAATTTGGAAACAAGGAATTTCCTGTAATAGTTAGCTAAGAGAAGGTTTTTAGCTGACCTGCTATGTAGAAGAGAGAAACATTAGAGTTACAACTTCACGCAAACCAGATTCTAAGTTGCTTCATATTGCAGTAAAAGTTATTCCGTCAGCGTCTCCCAGGTGTCAGCACCAAAACACAGACTGCAGATCGATACAAGATGATGATCATCAACTGGATTCAGCTGAGTGCCTTCAGCATAACCCTGTCAGTGGCAATTGGCAGAGTAATAATAACCACAACCACTTTGAGTTTGAGGCAAGTGAAATCGATTTTCTTCTTGTTTCTTGCTTACAATTTCTGATAGAAGTGAAGTAGTTAACAAAAAGAACTGAAACGATTATCTCCAAGTTGTATGTCATTCCCTAGAATCAACATCCTCACCAACACTTGTCATCAGCTACTGTAGTATGCATTTTTCACAAACAATCTTAGTTTTTTGTAGCACCTATTGCACTCAGATTCCTATCAAAACCCTTCAATTCATTGTTTCAGAGACGAAGTAGTACCAAACTTTAAACCCATAAGTGAATGAAATCGCCAGTCTTTTGCAGGACAAGTGCAAAGAGTTGATGAACCAGCCTGATTCAGAGTGCTCAACGAATCGTATATAAAGAGTTAAGCGTTAAATCATCACAATTTGTTATATGTTATTACTTAAACTCTTATGTCGTTCATTTGACCTTATAAACTGCTTCAGTTACTTGCAGGAGTTGAAGAACCGACGACGTTGGTTCACTAAATATGACCGTAATGCCTTGTAGGCTTTTGTTTGTTTATGTCGTAATCGTGTTTGTTCAAACTCTCAAGTTATAATTATGAAAAGAATAGAAACCCCATGATTGTCTAGAGTCTCTAGAGGGCTTAGCTCAACTATGACCGGATAGTTCCACTGACCATGCATTTTAATTATTTTTACAAGGACTGGTAAATTTCTATAACACATCCAAAATTTAGGTCTAGATATTTTGTAAGAGATTAGATCAGTCGACTATTTATATAACTCTCCTCCTTTCTCTACTAGCTAGCCGTGGAAAATTATCGACCACATATATAAGATATATATAATTATATCAAATCATATCAGCTTGAAGAAAGTTCGTTTGGTGGGGGCAAAGGTCATATAAAACGACAAGAACATGAGTTTTCTACATTCGCACGCAATGAATTAGACGTAGACAAAAGCTCTTTGTTTTCAACATTTTCATAAGAGATCGCAGAAGGGAGTTAAGTAGCCTATTTATGATTTGTCGACAAAAACTTAACCATTAGTATTAACCTAGGTTTAGTAGCCTAATTGTGATTTGTCGATTGCCCACAGGCCACAGTGTTGTCATTGTGTTTACCACTCGAGTTTGATCTAACACTATATATGAAATTAATGTGTACTTTGAGATGTGCTAAAAAAATTGGTAAGAATATATAAACCGCTACTTTTTTCTGAATTCAAGTGAAATTAGAAAAGGAGCAAACTCTGGCTTCTTTGGTGGGGAAGAGGACAAGTACAACAGAAGAGTAGCCAATCGGAAGTCCTGAATTAATCTTTTCATCTTTTTGGTCCATTGATTTGTGGGTTGTTTTAGATTATAAACTTGTGAATTCTGAGGGCATTTAGAGACAAAAACAGTAAAGTTCATGTACTGGGAGCATCAAAGATGGCACACATGGTCCACCATTCGACTTCATCATAGTTGGATCCAACTATCTAACATATCTATATATCGGTAAGGACATCTAATTAAGGAGTTGCTTAAAAAGACCATCGTTTACATAATTAAAAAATGAAACGTGTCATTCCATGTTTGTTTTAACTTAACACCTTTTTGTGAATGTGCGTGTTATATGACCCATCAATGTTAATATATCGAGGCTGGTTTGAGAGCTTAATCACTCGACTTTAATTATCTTTGGTGGAAACTTTTTATGTTTAAGCGATAAAGATGACGAGCCGAGCCGAGGGACTTTAATAATTCAGTTTAATTAGTGATGCTAGGTTTTTATAGCTTTTGGCACTTCTACGTTAAATTATCATGGTTTATTATATTTTCCACCACTGGCTAGTTTTTGTTGTTATTATATTATACCGTTTATTTTATTTATAATAATTTGATATGTTCTATTTTATTTGTTACTTGATTAATTCTGATGAGATATATATTAGAAATTACATTCAAATTCTGAAACGATAATCACTTTTAACAACAAAAGGATAAAACTCTTTAGATGGCATTTTATTAAAGTATATGTATAAGATAGGTCTATTTCAAAAATCTTTTTAAAAATTCTCATTCTTGATTTTCCAGATTAATAAGTGATCATTTTGCCATCTTCTCTTTCTTTTTTAAAGCTTAAATCTTCTTTTAACAAAAAGACCAAAATCTATCTTCTCCACCCAAAAAAGCCAAAACAAATTTGTGGAATGAGAGATGATAATTGAGGCAATTATGTAGATATAACAAATATATTACTAATAGGTTTGAATTAAATTTACGTCCAAAAAAAAAATTTAATTTATGTCAAGTGATTTTTGCTCATTGTTTGTTTCACTATTACGTTAATTCATGATCTATCCTACATAAAATAAAAGTCAAGCCCTCGATATAACTAAAAATTCCTGTTTTTTTTTTTTTTGTAAATCATACTTTGAGATATTTTATTTTCTGTTGGCACTTCACTCTTGAATTGATTAATTGAAAACACCCAAGTAAAGTATCCCATCACTTCACTTGAATATATTGAGAGTAAAGTTGGTGGTTTTGGTTGGGAAAGTTGTTAAGTTTCCACTCCTTTCATTCAATGTTCTGTGTCTTTTCTTCCAATTATTAAACCCACATTACCTTTTTTTTAATCTAGTTCAACTGCTTTAATGAGTACAATTAAAAAAAAAAAATTAGGTTTACAATCACTGCGTTCGTCGTACGTTTCGAAATTTGGATTCATTAACTAAAAAACTACGGTCACAACGCACTTACTGCCTGACTCACTACTGTAGGAAGAAAGGACGAAGCTTTCGAGTCTTCTACAATAATACTAGTAGTATAAAGCTAAGCAGAACGTTTTAAACGCTATACAAAATATCAATATTTATGTTACATTCCGGTTACAGCCAAATGTTAATTAAAGTAGTGTAATGCATGCGTACGTATATATATGTATGGTAGCAGAAATGGTGGGGCAATGATCTCATGTGTGTATATGTGTATTTGACAATCCCTAAGTAAAGAGAAAGCTTTCCGCAATGGCCCTTTGTTTCTCTCTATAATGCTCTCGAGGCTGACACGTTGTCGGTTCATCGCATCATTATTGGCTCGTGACTTTCTTTTCTTTTCTTTTTTTTTTCATATAGCAAAATGTCTATTAGTGTAGTAGACTCGGATTTAAGATAAAAATGAGTGTAACGCCAATTATTTTTTTGAACTCTAGTATATAATGGCAAAGTTTTTCTAGCGTACTTGAACAGTCAAACCAATCACAAAAATAGGAAGAAAAGAAAAAAACCAAAGAAAATAATAAGAAATGTGTTAAAGTTGTGATGTAGTATTATTATTTTCGATGTGTCTGATGTACCGTACGTAAAAAGAAAGAATCCAAAGGACTGTGTGAAAAATCTAACGAGAGAGAGAGAGAGAGAGAGAGGCGTGTGTAGAAGAAAAACATGAAAGCGTCAGTCAGTTCTGTACAAAATCGAGAAAACACACTTCGATGACAACGAGATTCTGCCAAAAAACAAAAACAACCGCACGTGTGCTGTTTCCTTTCTTCATCATATGTACTCATTACCACTGTTTACTCTTTTGTTTTTATTATCACATCACAACGAGACCATCTAATTAGGGGTAGCTGTAGAGAATTATTATGAAAGAAAAAGAGCAAAGATATTTTGAGAATTTAAAAAAAAAAAAAGGGTAGTAGAATATGTTTATGTCGACAAAGAAAAAACGAATATGTTACTTTCGTTATTAAATAAAATTGACATACGACTGTGTTTTCTAGATTGCTTACCATTTGTATGGTTGTTAGAAAAATGAAGAAATATAATTCTGCATATGATCCACAAAATTATTATTTTTATTTTTGCCACTTGTTCTTCTATATAACACATGCATGATTGGAGACATGGCAAAAACAGAAGTGAGATCGATGTATATGGAGTGAAGGGTCCATGAAGATGATAATGTAACTTGTAATATCGTCAAGAGTCAAATGGTATACGTTCGACATGGACCAATTTAAAATCCTTCTTTTTATTTTTGCTCATTTAAAGTTTTTCTTGCCAAACTATGTACCCATAAATTCAAACTTTCATATATGTACAATGTTTTCAACAGAATTGAACAAAGGACGACGACTTAAAGTTGTGGTCGACAATTTCCAAACCATACATTCAATAATACAATACACGCATGGATAACATATAAGTTTTTATGTAAACATAGGAAAAGAAATAGTATTTTTCTCTTATTAAACGAAAAAAAAAATATATATATCTTAAAAATATAGATTGAGAGTTTGGTCGTTTAGAAACAGCGCAACGCCATTGGCGTCGACCAAGTCGCTTCTTCGAAATTCAACTATTGAAAAGTAGCCACGTAAGTTGCTCAGACATGAGTCACATGACTAATAAACTTCTCTATGCATGGCTAACTTTTTTTTTTTTTTTTTTTTTGGTGAGTTAAGAATAAGATTGTCACATCAAAACCTAACTTACAACCATTTTTTTCCTGAGACAATATATATATTAAAAATGTACTAGTTGGTAAGACGAAATTTATTTTCTTCGTTAAAAAAAAAAAAAAAAAATAAAGATTTTTTCTCACCAGGGATGTTAATATAAATAAATGACTTGTAGGAAATAATATAATTTTGAAAGGCTTCTATATTTGAAACACATAAAATAAAGGAAAAAAAATATAAAATCAAGAATTTTGATTGGTGACTGCTGATATACAGTACTAGTAATAAGTGAAACTTGATATTAATGATTAGAGACTAAAAATAGTTATTGTGAGACTGTGAGAGAGAGAGAGAGAGAGAGAGTTCCTACTTCCTACCGACGTACTTAAACCAAAACCGGTTTAATCCAATGGTTCATATACTACTACGAGTTGGAAGATGCCGTTAACGCACCCAAGAGAAGGAGATAATAATATATTTCTTTAACTACTTCTCTTCTTCATCTTCTTCTTCTTTATTTTCTTATTTTTTATTTTCTAATTTTATTGACTTCCGAATCTCCAAAAAAAAAATCTAAAAACAAAACTAAAAAAAAAAATTATTTTTGTTTTGGGTTCTCCGGGAAGGAAAAATCTTTTATTATTTTCTTCACCAAATAATTTGTCTCTTTCGCAAATCTCAGCTCAACCGAAGTGCCCCTTTCTTTGATAAATCTGTGTGTTTTGTTCATTTATAGTCTTTGTGGATTCGATGATGACAGTTTCTATTACCACAAATTGATCAAAGAGAGAGAGACATAGACGTAGCTAATCTCTTGATTCTTTTTTCTGGGGTTTTTTTTATAAAAAAATTGTTTTATTTGGGTGATCGTCTTATGGAAAAGATTGTTGTAGCTAATTTCTAATCTAGAGAGAGATGGGAGGTTGCGTGTCGACGCCTAAGAGCTGTGTAGGAGCGAAGCTGAGGTCAGGTAAACGAAGGAAGAGTCGTAGACGACGAAAAATTCAAAGGAAGAGAGCCGTCTCTTCTCGTCTATCTGACGGATCTTTCGACAATCTCGATCATCCTCATCGCAACTTCTCCAATCCCAGCTCCAGAGGTTATCCTCTCTCTCTGTTTCCCCTGTTTCTGCATTTCCATTGATTTGTTATCTTGATTCGTTTTAGAATCTCATGGT